CTGCAAAACAACCAGCACCTTTCACACTATTTTCTGAGTATAAATCTAGGAGAAGAGGAAGATTATCCAGTAGAAAACAGTGACTAAAAACCTTTTTTTTTTAAAAAAAAAAAGTCAGTTGTCTTGCTAAATAAAAATTCTCCATTGATTATGCCACGTGTCATAAGATTTAGGTTAGGCATCAAACCTACAGGAGAGAAATCTTGGTTCAGTGAAATAAATTGAGCTAAATACATTTCTATTCTGTCTTTAACCTGATGGACACACAAAGAACTAGAAGATAGCTCTGATGTTGATCAGACCATAATTATGGCTAAAAGATAAGACACAGTAAGATAAATCTAGCATAGGTATTACAGACTTCCTCAAAGCCAATATCCTTACTTAAGTTCTAATGTTGTTATTGAGTAAGATTATATAAGAACAGTTCTAAAGAACATTAAAAACATAAAGATTGAAGCTATAGATGCAGTACTGTTAGTTGATTTCTTGCCTAGCATACACAAAGTTTTGTGTCCAATCCATGCATGCCTGCAATCTCAGTAATTGAGATGTAGAGGCAAGAAGGTCAGGAGTTCAAAGTCATTCTCAACTACATAATCAACCATGACTACAAGAAAACTTGCCTCAAAGGAAAAAAGAACATACAACGGATCCATGAAATATTAAAGTAGAGTTCTATCAAAAAATACACAAAAACTATACTTCATAAGGATTTTCCCTAGGACCCACTAACCTAGCCTAATCCCAACCCTACTTGCTAAGCCCCTTAGCGTCCCTAGCCAAGACTCACTGGTTCCATGACCAGCTCCTTGTGCTCACAAAATATCTCTGTTTATCAAAAACAGGAAAGATGACAGTACTCTTCAGGATGGGAATTTGGTCGTCATGGTCCTCTAGCTCCCAATTTCTGAAACTTACATACAGGATTATACAACTTAATAGAGGGGTCACAAACAAAATTGGCAACAACCAAAGGTTTCTGAATACCTAATGATGTAAATTCAAAATTACATCACCACTTCCCCATAGCCTTGATTCTGAACTTAGTGACACTTTGTACCATGCACAGCCATGTGATGCCATTAAGCACTGCCTAAAGCCTCAGCAGAGATTTAAGACTACTGTTATGTTGCAAACTGCAGTGTTTTTCATAGAGTGTCCTGCTCTTAAAACAAAGACTTTCTGTATGTTCCTACATCATTCCTTAGGATCAAATTATTATATCTTTTTTATTTGTTTGTTTTTCAAAACAGGGTTTCTCTATGTAGCCTAGGCTGTATTGGAACTCACAGAAATCTGCTTGCTTCTGCCTCCCAAGTGCTGGGATTAATGGCATTCACCACTGCTGCCCAGCAAATTATTATATCTCAAGATAGTATCAACTAGTAAGATCCAAATTAGTACCTTTGGATTATACTGTGTTAAAATATTTTAATTTTAAAAGCTGTTGTTACAGTTGCAAACTAGGGTTTCGTTTAAAAATTATTAAATATGGGGACTGGAGAGATAGCTGAACACAACAACATCAAAAAACTATTAAATACATTTTCGTTTGGGATTTAAAAAGTATTTCTAGCTGGGTGGTGGTGGCGCATGTCTTTAATCCCAGCACTTGGGAGGCAGAGGCAGGTGGATCTCTGTGAGTTCAAGGCCAGCCTGGTGTACCAAGTCAGTTCTGGGACAGGCTCCAAAACTACAGAGAAACCCTGTCTCAAAAAACCAAAAGAAATAAAAATATAAGAATTTCTAGCATCATCTACCAAGGCCCTGAACACACTTCAGCAATTTTGTACTACATAATTATCTGAAACACATTCCCAGAATTAATGATTATGAAATTGAAATATCAAATCTGAAAAATGTTGAAAATCTTCTACAGGTGAACCCAAAGAAAAACATATAGGCATCCTCCTGAATATTAACCTTCATCAGGCGATGAAAGGAGACAGAGACAGAGACCCACATTGGAGCACCGGACTGAAATCTCAAGGTCCAAATCAGGAACAGAAGGAGAGAGAGCACGAGCAAGGAACTCAGGACCGCGAGGGGTGCACCCACACACTGAGACAATGGGGATGTTCTATCAGGAATTCACCAAGGCCAGCTGGCCTGGGTCTGAAAAAGCATGGGATAAAACCGGACTCGCTTTTAATCCCAGCACTAGGGAGGCAGAGGCAGGCGGATCTCTGTAAGTTCGAGACCAGTCTGGTCTACAAGAGCTAGTTCCAGGACAGGCTCCAAAGCTACAGAGAAACCCTGTCTTAAAAAACAAACAAAAAACAAACAAACAAAAAGATGATATATCCATCTACATTGAAATTCTAAAAGAATCATCAAAAACACTCTTGAAACAAATAGTAACAGCAGGATTATATAAAAAGTCATTTTCCTACATGTCAATAAGGAACAGGGAAAAAGCAGATTGTAAAAAATTTTTTATATATGTATATATACACACATACATATATGTGTGTGTGTGTTAGTAATCAAGAGAGAAAGAAAGAGAGAAGAGAGAGAGAGAAAGTAGAGCTGGAGAGATGGCTCAGAAGTTTTAAGAGCACTGGCCACTCTTCCAAAGGACTCTGCTTTGATTCCCAGCACCCACACAGTGGGTTACAACTGTCTATAACTCCAATTCCAGGGGATTTGACTCCTACTTCTGGCCTATGTAGGCAACAGGCATGAATGCATGTGACATATAGACATATATGTAAACAAACATTCATACACACAAATTAAATCAATTTTTAGAAAAACATAAAAAATTATAATGGTAAGTACTGTTGACATGCTAATTCTCCCAGTCTTTTCTACAGATCATGGAATTCCGGTGCAATTCAGCAAGTAATCTTATGGACACAGATACACCAATTCTAAAGTTTGTAAAGAGATAAGATACCTTTTTTAGATACCTTATAAAGATACAATCTAAGAGGAGAAAAATGGAGGGCTAAAGCTTCAGACTTACTAAACACCTAAAATAATTAAGACTGTAGTATTTGCAAAAGGAGTGAACAAATAGATCAATAAAATAGAACAGAGATTTTTAGATATGGAAGTACATAAATGCAGTCAACTGACCTTTCACAAAGGGGCAAAAGTAACACAATGAAGAAAAGACAGTCTTTTCAATAAGTGGTGCTGGGAAAATCAGAGTATCTTCATACAAAAATTATTTTAAAAAAAGACCTTATAATTCGTATAAAAACTTAATTCAAACTGTACACTCAAGCATGATAGCACTTATTTATAATTCCAGAGATTCAGTGGCTAAAACAGAAAGACTATGAGTTCAAGACCAATCTGAACTGTACAGCAAGATCTGATTTTCAAAAAAATCACAAAACAAACAACAAAAACCCACCTCTAAACTAGGCATGGTGGGATCAAGAACTGCAATCTCAACACTGAGAGGTGCAGGTAGGAGGGACAGCAGTTTGGGATCATTCTTAGATACACTGAGTTCCAGACAAGTCTGGGCTTTATCTCAAAAGGAAATAATAAACGCCCCTCAAAATGGATTATAGAGCCAAACATAAAAACCAAATAGTTCCTAGAAGATGATTTAGATATGGCAGAATTAATCCATGAGAAGAAATGATAAACTAGACCATTAAAATTTTCTGTTCTGAAAAAGGCATTGTCAAAAGAATGAGAAGACATGACAGAAACTGAAAAGAAAGTATTTAAAAAGATTTTACAAAGATCTTAAACTCAACATATACATAAAAATTCTCAAAGTCAAAATAAGGAAACAATGTCATTAAAAACAGAGAAATAGAGCTGGTGTATCACCTCTCCTGACTTGTATGTATGGTGCTGGAGGAGAAAGTAAACATCAGTATCATCCAGCAGATTATTAATTAAATTTTTTATTATATATTTTTTAAAACAGCTATTTGGCTAACAAGTTGGTTCAGCCAGTGAAGGAGTTTGTCACCAAGCTTGACAACCTGAGAATGATCCTTAGAATGAAAGAAAACTTCTGCCCTCCATGTGCATCAGAGTTCTTCTCTCTCTCTCTCTATCTCTCTCTCTCTCTCTCTCTCTCTCTCTCTCACACACACACACACACACACACACACCATTTGTAGAAGAAACAGCTGTCAACTCATGAAAAGGCGATGAAAGAAACTTAAATGCATATCAATAACTACAAAAAACTAACCTGAAAAGCTTACACGCACAATGGAGAAGGAAAACTCACTAGGCCAGATGAGAAGGTAAGCTATTGCCAGGGTTAAGGGCCTTGAGAGGGAGGAAATGGCCCAGCACAGGTTTTCAAGGCAATGGAAATAATCTGTATAATATGTGCGTGAACCCATTTCATTACTATATACTTGAATACACAAAATCAAGAATGAATCTTAAAGCATGTCGTGAACTCTGGGTAACAGTGTGCTGATGTAGGCTATTCGAATGTAAAAAACTGAAGTAGTGGGAAAGTTGTGCATGTCTGGAGACAAGAGGTATATGAGAACTCTATTGCTCAATTTTGCTATGAACTAAAAATTGTTCTAAAGTATTAAGTGTATAAAAAAAATCAAAAAGACACAGTAGTGCAACTATAATCCCAACACTTGGAAGGCTGATGCAGGGAGATGACTACAAGTTTGAGGACAACTTGGTCTACACAGTGTGTTCCTACAAAGTAAGATTGTGTCTCAAAAAAAAATATATATTATATGTGTGTGTGTGTGTGTGTGTATACTTAATTATATCTTTAATACTTTAGATCAAGTGACTACTTCTAAGCTCAGAAGGCAAAACCACAAAATTGCTGCCTGGTAATTTCTCCTCCTCCTTTTCCCCTCTTTTGGGACAGTGAGTGGCATGTTAACTGGAGCCTGAACATAGGGCACTGTGAATGCTAAGGATATTTTACCACTGAGCAACACCTCAAGCCCAAACTTGATGTTTTCTAGCCCTTAGTCTTAGCAAGCATAACATAACCTTAGCAGTTATTTAAGCCTAGAATGGGAATCAAAAGAACTTACTTTTCAATTCTCTTCTTTTGTTCTTTTTGTCTGTTTTGTTCTTTCACTTGCTCCCTCTCAATATCCATGAAAAGTCTCCTGTGTCTCAAGTATTGCTTTTGACGCTAAAGGAAAGAAGTTAAAATTATCTAGCCTATTCACAGACAGCTTTGCAAAGGACAATATTCTTATTCTAAAGAGAAGAAAACTGTCAGATAATAAGGTTACATGTGATAAAGTTATCAATTTCCTCTGTATCAACAGCAGTACATACAATAAGAAAATTATGTTTTCAAGTACATAGCTACTTTGTTCATAGACAAACCAGTGAAAATGCAAATTTAGTTTACCCTTAGTAAAAGCTGAAATAGTTAAAACATCACCTGAAAAAAAACAGTGTATTAGTTTGACCTTAGCGTAGTCCACTTGTCAATAGTACCTGGGAAATTGTTATATTTGACACAATTAAGGTACATACTATATTTACTCTGTGTTCTGAAGCAGTATCATAAAAGGAGGGCCTCTGAGAAAGAAAGGCAGGCAATAGCCCATTGAATCTGTAAAGACTAAAATCACATCACAAAGCCTACCACACATGATAAGAAGTGCAGAGGGATCAAGTCTATCAGGGTATCATGCTCATAAACAGAATGAGCATAATAAAAGCGAGTGCTACTACACTATGCGTGATCTGTTTATACCTTGGGATTTACATATTCTTTCAAGGACACAAGCTACTCAAAGGGATGACATATCTACACATACACTAGGTCAATATATGACTTCTTTGGTGAAAGAACCTTAATCTGAAGAATGACTCTCATTATTGAAGATGCATCAAAAAATGTTTCTCGTCTGACATCAGCCCATGGCCGGGATTTAAAACTGGTAGAGTACTTTTTACCTGAAGAGGAAGAGAAGCCATACATTTAAAGTACTCCTATAAGTAAGCTACAGTGGAAAATGTACACAGCTAGAGAAATTCACGTGGATCAAACATGTGCATCTCAAAACCTACAAGCCTAAAAGAAAAGTTAAGCATATTATAATGTCTTAACATCTTTGGAATTTCTGTTTTTATTCATTTCTTTCTTTTTTAAAAAGTATTTATTTTTATGTGTGTGGATGTTTTGCCCACCTGTATGACTGTTCAACATGTGTCTGTACACTGCAGTGTCCACAGAGGAGAGGGTTGGATCCTCTAGGACTGGAGTTACAGATGATTGTGAGTCACCATGTGGATGCTGGGAACTGAGCCCAGGTCCTTTGGAAGAGCAGTCAGTGACTGTCAGTCAGTGCTCTTAACTGCTGAACCATCTCCCCAGGTCTCTAGGTTTTTTTAATATTAATATCTTTTAACACACTTATTTTCTCTGTAAGGCGCATAACAGACTTCCCCTCCCTCTGCTCCTTATATTAGGAGTTGAATCCACACTACAACCTTTCTATACTTGGGAGTAATAGTATATTAGCAGAATAGTTGAGGGGGTATCTTAACCAGAGAAATCACCAATTTTTTTAAAAAAGCACTAAAAATGCATCAAATATGGCACCAAATAGATTGCAAAAAGCTGCTTGTTTGTGATATGGAGCTGAAACAGTCCAGCTGACAGAATGCATTTTGGGTTACTCAAATATTTCGTATCTTTTGTGCATGTTAGCAAAGTGTTTTGCCTGTGATGATGACTATGTACCATCTGCAAACAGTGCCCTGCAGAGGCCAGAAGACATCAGATCCCTTGGGACTGGAGATACAGATGGTTGTGAGACCCCATTCTCTCAAAGGGTCAGCTCCAGAATTTCTGTTGTTTTAATGAGTTAAAATAGTGAACTACTTCCAACATCACAGAGAATTCAGAAGCATACCTCTTTCTTGTCTTCTTCTTGATCCACTCCAGACTGAAAGGCCAGTGAAGCACGGTATTTGCTCAGTCCCGATCGATACTCTTCATAAACCTGCTACAAAATTCAATTTACAAAAGTGACAAAATTGCTAAAAGTTCTGTGAATTCTCTTCATATGTCTGACTACTGACTCTTCCTGGAACCAGTACAGCTAGAAGAAACAGGGGCTCATTACCTACGATATCTTCTAGAAAATTCAGGATAGCTGGTACACCTACCTGGACATTTTATGTCAAGTAATAATTTCTACTTTAAAAAAATAGTAAAAAAAAAATAGTTTAAAATTCTTTATTTTAAAGTTATCTTTAGTACCAGAAGCAGGACTAAGGAAACAGACTGTCCCTCGCAACAGGATTTTTTGCAGGAGATGAAAATGTTCTTATCTTGGCTGTGGTATGTTTGCCAACCCTGTGAAAACTCACAAAATACCAAACTGTACAGGTAGCTAATCTTTATTATTTTTACTCATCATCATATTTACAAACTTGTCTACACGTTCAAATCTATACGGAACCCCAACACTCACAGTGCTTATGTAGTCCTTGGCAGACATGCAGAGACATGAAAGATCTGAGTAATGAAACATGCATGCTGCCAGCTGGGACTCTGTTTCAGCTCTCATATCATAAATAAGCATCCTTTCTGCAATCTACATGGTAGCAAACTTGATGTGTTTTTTTGCTTTCTGTTGGTGATTTTACCAGTTAAGATGACCCTCTCCCCACAGTATATTGCTGATATATTATCACTCCAAAGCATAGAAAAGTTGTGGTGTATATTAATTTCTTAGCACAAGACACACATGCACTGGGGTTGGGGTGCTATTGTTGGGATATGCCTTGCAGAGATAATACATGTTAGATTAGTTTTGTTTACATTTGAGTTAGTGATGCTGCCAGCTGAGATCAATGTTAAGGGATCAACAACACTTATTTTCCTTTTGTGGTGCTGGGAATGAAAACTGGGGGCTTGTGCATGTGAAGCAAACACTCTACTGCTGAGTTATAGACCCCATAGAACCATGTAAATTAAATCAGAATCTTTAAACAGAAATATCTAAACCAAATACCGCATGTATATTAACTAAATGACCATAAATAAGCCCTGGCACATATGATCAAAAGCACTAAATAAGGAAATCAAGATCATCCTGTAGTAATAGGAGCGTTGGGGCTGCGTCCCCAGCACCCTGGCCGCCTGGCTAGCCTATGCCCGAAATAACAACACACAAACTGTATTCATTTAAACACTGCTTGGCCCATTTCTATCTAGCCTCTTCTCGGCTAACTCTCGCACCTGGACTAGCCCATTTCTAATCATCTATGTAGCACCGGTCTTACCGGGAAGATTCTAGCCTACGTCCATCCTGGGTCGGAGCTTCATCGCGTGCATCTTCCCGGGAGCGGGGAGCATGGTGTCCCTCTGAGGCGTTTGCCCCCGAGAGGAGAGCTATCGAGTCTGAGCTCACTTCCTCTTTCTCCCAGCATTCTGTTCTGTTTACTCCTCCCACCTATGTTTTAACCTATGAGGGCCAGCCAAGCAGTTTCTTTATTGCTTAACCAATGAAATCAACAGATTGATATATGACACTCCCACATCATCATCCTGGGGAAAAGACAGTCTCTTCAACAAATAGTATTGGGAAATGGCTATTCACATGCAAAAAAAAAAAAATTAAGGTAGGCCCTTAGCATATGCCATCTACAAAAATTAACTCAACATGAATCAGATCAAAAGATGTAAACATAAGAAAGCACACTACAGAATGCCTTGAAGAGGGGAAAGCTATTTAACACCAAATCAGGCAACTTCTTGAATATGATACTAAATATAGGTAATGTTAGAAAAAAATAAAATGGACTATAGTAATACTTGCGTACGAATGGACACTCTCAGAGTAAAAAGGTAACATACGAAATAGGAGAAATCTCAAATCTGATATGCTTGGAATATGAAATGTCACCCCCATCTGTTCATATACATGTACCCAGCTATAGGTGCTATTTTGGCAGGCTTTGAAATGTTTATGAGGTAGGGCCTCCTTGGAGAAAGTAGCCCATCGGGAGTGACTTTCAAAGACATACTGGGCCTCCACTCCCTTCCTCTCTTTCCCTCTACCATGACTTGAATACCCCTTTCTTCTACATATTTCTGCCACAGTGATGTTCTGTCCAAGAACGTGGGACCAAGCAACCTGAAGTAAACCTCAAAATCAAGAACCACAATAAGCTATCACCCCAGAGACCTAAAACTACAATTCAATTAAGTCATGCACACACTAGAAGTTTGTTAACTGAAACTGAATCAGTTAACTCACATCCTAGCAATCAGCAGATAGATTTTCACTGTGTCTGTTTTGCCTTGCTCTTATGACCCACTTTTCAAATAGTTAACACTGAAATCAGCCTCACCAAGAAAAAAAAAAAAAAAAAAAGGAAAAACATCCAAGAAAGCCCCTGGCAAGATGACTTCCTACTTTCCTACTCATCATTAGTATTAGGTTTATAGAAACCACAAACACCTGCTATTCCTGGTGACTTATGGAAAGCATCAAAACCACATCAACACAATTGTAAGAATTAATTGCCAAGCTAGGTGTAGGAGCCCCATAGAAAACACTTGCCTAGCATGCATGAGGCCCTGGGTTTCCCAGCACAAACACACATAAGCATTCATCTTCAGTACAGAGCTCACCTGACTATAGCTGAAGTCTGTAACCTCTGACAAGATGAAACCTGGGTGTGAAAGCCTTCCATCTCACACTCGCTAGTTTGTTACCAGTAAAGCTTCTTCCATCACTGTCTCTCTAGTTACTGCCTTCAGCAGCAGAATGGAACATTTCACAGTTAGTTATATACTCCTGGTCAGTACAGCAATGCAGGAAACAACCCAAGTGTCCATGGGTAGATGAATAAATGAACAAAACGCAACACACACACACACATGCACACAAATACTATTAATGACTTTAAAGTGAAAACACTGTACTAAGCTGTAGCATTATGCTGAGCAAAGCAGGACAGTGACAAGAGGACAAATACTGTAGGAAGTCACGTCATGAGGTACTTAAAACAGTCAGACTCAGATTGAAGCAGTAAGGTAAGGAGGAGGAAGTGGGAGACTTATTTAATTGATATAGAGTTCTCGATAGGATTTCAGATTTATAAGGTGAGAAAATGTTCTAGACATAGATGGGTGGCAGGCTACATATCTCTCAATGTGACGGTACTTATGCCACTGGAACGTATATTTGAAGAGGCTTAAAGTGAGCTGAGTGGTGGCCTACACCTATAATCCTAATATTTAGAGACTGGCAAATTTTCATGCTCAATGCCAATCTGGACTAAATAAGGAGACTATTTCCAAATGTCAAAAATATATTTATATTATAAATACAATTATTTAAATGCTAAATTTTGTATTTACAACAATTTAAAAAGTTAAACATCCATTTATTTGGGGGAGGAGGCAGATTAGCATGTCACAGAGCATATGTGGAGGTCAGAGGACAACATTCAGGAGTTAGTTTTTCCTTCTACTGTGAGGTTCCTAAGATCCAGCTCAGAGAGATCACAGCAAAAGGCTCCTAACTTCTGAGCCATCTACCAAGCCTTCACCACAAGTTTTAAAAGCACCTACATTCAGATATACTTAAATGCTTACGAAATACTACAAAAATATATACACTAACATGATTAATACTGGGAAGAGAATTGGAATTTTAGAATTAGGATTTCGAGGAAGGGCCTTAATGGGGGACTCATACTTTTTCTGTATACTTTTTGAGGGGTCTGAGGGAGGGTTCACTCCATGTACCCAAGCAGGCCTCAAACTTGCTACGTATGTAGCATAGGATGACCATGCAGTTTGGTCCTCCTGCCTCCAACTTTCCACTGTTCCAACTACAGGCCTCCAACACCTCACCCAGTTTATGCAGGGCTGGGCATCAAACCACAGGCTTATTCATGTACAAATCAATCAAGCACTCTACCAAGATCCCCAGTCTTTCTGTATACTTCTAGCGTTTAAATGCTCTACAAGAATTTATCCATGTATTATATTTATAAATCCCAACATTTTGTTTTAAAAGTTTTACAAGATTTTCATCATACATTACAAGAAGCACAGAATTACTTTTTTATATTTCATTTTTCTTCCCCACATTTATTTAATTTTTTTTTTCATTTTAAAATTGATCCATTGATAAAATCACCTCCCAGGCACTTCTAATAAGGCCTACAGCATTTTTGCTGGTCAGAGTCTGAGGAAGAGGGTAGGTTTGGAGCAGTCACTGGCTTCCAATGAGTAAATGTAATAGAAGTTAGAGACACAAAATGCTAGAAATACCTCCAAAAAGGTACCAGTATACCTAAATATTTTTATTTCTTTACTACACATAAAAATCAATTTATTATCAGTTTAATATGTGAAGTTTAAAAAGCCAGCTGCAGAACAATCAATATAATACAATGTCATTAAATAAAAATAATAGGATATGCAACCCAATAAAAAATTTATCTGTATGCATGTGTATGCAAATTAGGTGGTCTAGACTGATGAACTTTAAACTGTTGATAGTAGATATGTCTGGAGAAAAGGAAAGGCTGAGGAAATAGAAAATGGAAAGGTAACTGATCTTCATGCTATCAATACTTTCTGCATTTAAAACTGCATTGAAAAATTCATTAAAATCTCCTAACTGATCACTTTGGGGGCACTAAAAATTAAATTGGTATCTACAAATAACAGATTCTGTCTAGTTGCATTGTAAAGATAAATTGAAATGAAACAGAAAAGTCAAAATCAGGAAGTCAGTTTCCTAGATCAGATGAAGTAGAGGTAGACACTGGAAATTGATTAAAAGACCAGTTAAGAAACGGTAAAGATCCGAGCTAAAATTATGGCAACAAAAATACAAAGAGAAGAGTTTAATGTGGAACTGTCCCCAATCTGCCTTATCAAGAGGATCTAAGAGAGCAAGATAATTTAGCAGGTTAAGGTGTTTGCTGCACAAGCACAGAGACTTGAGTTTGATTCCTAGGAACTGTGGAAGAA